TTTTTACAGCTAAAAATATAAATTCCGAGATACTCCATAGATCTATTGAATTTACAGAGATTTAGTGGGATGCCTAGAAAGATTAAAAAAAAAAACCAAAAAATGTATGATCAAAACAGATTAAGCAAACATGAATAAATAAATAAAAAAATAAAAAATATTAGATTAATTAAAAAAAAATAAAAATGATTATAACTGAAAAATAAATAAAATAAAAAAATAATAAATAAAAAAGTAAAAGTAAAAATGCTTAGATAAAAATTTAATATAAATTTGGAGCCAATTTCATGCGTTTGGTCTTGGAGCTACAAAATTTTTAACTCTTAATAAATTCCAATTTACGCCTCACAAATAATAAAAATATATTTATGTATTTATAGCAAAAAATTTATTTCAAGAAAATTTTATTTTGTTTAGTTTTGAGACACGAAAAACCCTCATAGCTTGGCTTAACATTTTATAAGTAAATTCTTTCTGTGTATTTGTCCTTAAAATAATCCCAACTTTCCTTTGTATTTCCCATAATATTTTTATTTTAAATTTTATTGGAAATTGAGAAAACGTTATTTATGTAAGTTGAAACTTGGCAAAGTGGAATCTATGTGCACTTCACTGCCTGCGCTTTGTCTTCTCTCTTCCACGCCGGCATTTGGCATAAATTAAAATGCCGAAACAATGAAAATGTATTCAGGACGAGTGTAGTCGACTGGGCAGGTATTTGGGTCAGCAGCTGTGCTGAGCAACATGCGAAACAGAAGTGGCACAAATTTAAGCGAAGAACACTGTTGCATACCATTGGGAGTATTGCTTTGTTCTTGTTGTAGCTTCATTAAAATTAAAATAAAAGTGCTTTGCACTTGGGCGTGGCGCATCCTGTTAATATTAATGAGACTACAACAAGAGCGGCAACAGTAGCTGCAGCCACAGCTTGCCACAAAAAGTGCGCATAACTAATTGAGTTTTTTTTTATTTTATTCGCCGGCTAATTTGGCTGACCAAGTTTTGCATTGTCTTTTAGCCTTTGCCAGCTGCAGTAAAATTTCATTGTGTTTTGGTAATATCTGAAGTTGGCCTGGTTTGCTTAAAGTTTACTTCTGCTCGGCTGGCTGCATCTGTGGTTTCGGCTTGTGTTGCTGCAACTGTCTGAGAAACAACATTGAATGTTGTGCCGCGAATCTGTTGAAGTAGAACCGAGATACATGGAATTTGTAATACATGTTTTGCATAATATGTTTATAATGTGTATAGAATGCATCGGAGCTTAATATGCTGTTTCTTTTGATACAGACTTAAGACTAAACTTAGAAGTCGAATCTAACTATGTCCACCTTTCGAAGCTAATATCGGTTTGATAATTTATATATTTAAATGAAAATTCTGCTAAAAGGAAAGTCTGACTTCCGCAAATCTTTCTTAAACACAAATGCTAATGACATTTAAATGATGAGTCGATGCTGTAAGCAATCAAGAAAGTTTCCCTCACAACATGTTTACATGCAAACACTTTGTGCCCTTTTTGTGTGCCCATCTCTTGTCCACATCTCATTTTCATAGTCATGTGAGGCATTCGAAATATTAAATAATATCCCATGGCCAATTAAGAGTTACTTAAGCTCAGCCCGAACATGAAATTAAAGTGCGCAGCATGCAAATGGCATTTGATGTATGCTAAGGCAAAGACCCAACGAGCTCTTAGCTTGAAGTCTTCAAAGCCACAAAAGTTGTTTGCCTTTTGGCCTTTGGCATTTGGGTTAACCTCTCACACTTTGCTTGAACAAATCAAAGCTGGCAAATAAAATTCGAAAAGTATTTGGCCGTAACAAGTTTCTAAGGGCCGAAGCAGAACAAAAGTTTTGTATGTATCGCATTCCGTTAGCGCGCCTTTAGGTATGCCATAAACTGTTAAACAAAACAAGATTTTCCGCGTTTCAATGTATTCTTATCGCACGCTTATTTACTATGCAAAGTTTGCCAAAGTTTGCGTTGTGTAAATTTCTCAATTGCCGCATGCAAAGCGCTCGTTGGGCTTCCACTAAAGCAGAGAGTGGGCTACGAGTGGGTGGGCTTGGAGGTTTTTTAGGCCGCTAATCAAATGCGACATTTATCAAATTGACACGCAACATGGCGACTAAACATGCAAGCTGCATGCGGGCACGATGTGGGCGTGGCATACAGCCAAACGTGTCGCTTGTTGCATGCATGCCAAATTAGCGCTTTATAGTGTATAGAAATTTGTTGAAAAGATATATATATATATATTTGTTAAAAAGATATATATATATATTTCTGTATATTTTTGGCAGAGTTCATCATGCAACATTTTGGCTCAGGCCAATTTTGAGAGTTGTGGCCAAATGGATTTGCGTCTAGACTGTATCCAGCCTCTGCTCTCGTCTGAGACCAGCAGCTGTGGCCAATGCCGGAAAAGTCTTAGCTTTGGCAAGTGGCTTAGACTGAGATTTGGATGCAGTCTGCACGGCATTGCTCTGCTCGGCATTGCGCGACGAACATGGTCTGCATTTGTAATAAGCTGCCAGCTAGGGTCTGAGACTCTGCTCTCCTCTTTTATTGAGCCTTGAGACAATCATGGCAAATAAGTCGCATACTTCAAATAAAAATCTACTAAATCAACTTTAAGTTCATAATTTAACATGGGATTTTGTTGACAAGCCAAGCTGTTAGGTAAAAACATATGCATATATTTATTTCATATTTTTATAAAATATTTCACATATTAAATTTGACAACTCGAATTTGATTTGCGTTCGCTGCATATTCAGTCGGCTTTAATTTTTTTTAAAGCGCATTCAAATGTTCATCAGATTTTACATTTTTTTAACTTTAAATTGCTTGTGAGTAAAAACTGGAAAAATATTTGAAAAAATATTGTAATCTGGCCATATCGATTATTATTATATGTATCTATGTATATATATATATCTGTATATATATATATATAATTCTTGTTTTGTTTTTAATTTTGCAGTAATAACTGTTTCAGCTTTCATCTGGTCAAACTTTTATTTTTGGCTTTAAAAGGCTATTTTTTAGCTTTCAACCTGCATGCAAAAATTGTTATTAAAAATTTATATTTTAATTACGGGCTTTGTCTGTGACAAATTTTTTGTTTCACATTTCAGACAGCAAATTCGACAGATATTTTTAGCACCTGAATTATATTTAATATAGTTTTATTTTATTTTATTTATACACAAAAATTGATTGCCTAAAAATGCGTAAATTGCAATTAAAGTGAATCGAGGTGAGTTCGCTAATTACACAGGATAATAGAATTTAGCAAACAAAAATTAAGTTTATTTATCTGATGAATTTTGAGCCATCGAATCTAAATCCGAATTCAGAAAATTGTAAAACAAATTTTTTAAAAATTATTAAATCATAAGTTCATTTAATAATATAAATATATTACTTTTGGTTTGAGTTACTAGTCTGCGTTAACTTAATCAGGATTTTATGTTAGGCTCTTGCTATCCGTTCCCTGTCTGTTTTCACTAATTGCTAAGATTATCTATTTATTTCATATAGACATTGCTCACATTGTTACGAATATTCAACTACATTCTAACTATATTCAAATGCCCATGTATTAAGATAAATGTCATATCAAAATAATATACACCAGACCACATAAATATTAATTAATATAGTTGAGCCAACTAGGCCACAAAATTGGATGTCATTATTCAATTCAGTATTCCAGCTAAAGCCGTCAACCCGTCGCCTAGACTAGTTCGAATGATTAGCCAAGTTTCAACGGCTTTTTGAGGGCGACACATTAACCGTTATTCCGGTAGTTCGATAATCAATAGGAATCAATGTGCCAATGAACTCGTTATCAGCACTAATGGAACCTTTTGCCATGCCACATGCAAGCGACGTGCACGCAACCATTCGAAAATAAAGTAAAAACTGGGAACAACATTTCAGCTAACAGCAGAAACATGCATGCATGCTCTGCCACGCCCAGCCGCCTTCTATGTGGCAGCTAATCCGCGCCTTTATGCTACCACAATATGATTACAATAATTTTATGTATATTTCCCTTTTTTTAAATATTGATGCATATATATTTTGGGTCACGCACGTAACGGCAACAACAGCAAACAGGAACAAATCAAGCATCAGCCGGAAAACGGAATTGATTATCGACACTATATTTTGCCCCCCTCTTTATATATATATATTTATATATATCAGAAGCCATTGGCGTCCGCAGGTTTGTCGGCAGCGTTTTATCTATTTGCGTGCCGCGTTGCCGTTTGCCTGTTTTGAATTCCAAATACAAATTACGAAATTTAATGACTTCATTTTGTGCCTTGATACCCTGTGACCAATTCAAATTTACCAAAATTTAAGAAGCTACAAAATATTATAATGGGATAGTAAGTAGACTTTTAGAGACAGCTTTAAATTATATAGAACGTTTTTTTAAAAAAATTTTAAATTGTTGCATTTAATAGTTTTAAGACTGGGAATATTTTGAGAATATAAAAACTGTTAAAACTAAATTAAATTAAATTCAATTTATAAATTTCGATACTTAATGCAGTTTTAATGTTTTTTTCTAAGTTATAAGAAATGTGTTTATTTTAATAAAAATATAATATTATGTTATAAATATTAAATAAAAATTATATATTTTAGGTCCTCTATTTTTTTTAATACCAGAAGCAATATTAATCGATAAATTTATATTTTGTGCGAATTAATTATTTCACATGTTTACAAGGTATTTTGCAGTCTATTTCACATGATTACAGCTTTCAAACTCTTCCCTTTAAAATGCCCATGACGTGTTTAGAAAATTCACGTAATGAGGTCAAAGGTTATTTAATTGTGTGCAAAGGAACGTAGCGCGATTAGGGTGTATTTGTGATAATTGCTGTGGCATGCTTATATGTTGCTTAGGCGAACTGATGCAAGAGAGTAGTCTGTGAAAAAAATGTTATAAATGCGGACTTGCTTTGCTTGGGCCAACCGGAGCAATCAGTTTCGACAAAATTCTAACTAAATTTATTCAACTTGAAGGAAATTTGAAAAATTCAAAAACATAAATAGATTTGAGGTTCTCAAGATGCCGAGTGAAACCCAGTAAGTTCGACAGTTAAGCATTATTTATGTATGTATCCCAACTGTTCAAAGGTCTAAGGCCAAGAGCCCATTTCTACAATTTAGCTCCGCTGCAGGCAGCCCAGAAACCAAACGCAAGATGTTGCTGTTCAGGCAGTTGCTAAAACGGGAGATCGACAGGGACATGAGGCCTCGAAAAGCCGTTCATGTGCGCCGATTATCAGAATTCTGAACAATAATGTTGTCCCTGTAGTTTTGTTGCAATGGAACGTAGTGACCAAAATTCGGCATATTTTCGACCTCTGTTTTCAGTTTTTCAATTTTTCAATTTCATCATGTTTTTTGGTCCATAATAAACTTTCACTGGCAAAATTTAGACAAAAGTTTTTGTATTTCAATTTGACTGCTGTTGACAAATAGCTTTATTCATTTCCCGGTCATGTAAATATTATTGAAATATGTAAGCATTTTAGATAAATTTGGTTATAGTAATATTTTCTTTACCAATTATAATGCAATAAATTTCCCTTGGGTACACAAAAATACTGCCTGAAAATCAACATATAAAACGCATATATTTTACAATTTAAAAACAGCATAAACAAAAATGTTAAACGCAGTGAATAAAAAAATAAAATAGATAAATAAAATGAATATAATTTTACTTCCAGCGGAATTGTTTTGGCTATACAAATATTAAGTGAACTTATTTTTATTCCAAACTTATCTGAAGAAAATAAATATAACTTGTTTTTAAAATATTTTGTTTTTAAATTTGTTTGCAAAAAAAAATAATCCAAGCATAATATATAAAAAATATAAATAATTTCATATATTATAGCATATTTTTTCATATTAAATATTTTAAAAATGTATAAAGTTCCATAAATGCTTTTAATACAGCTGCCATCAAAAAAGTTTTACGAAAACACCCATAAAATGTAGTTTCTCCCGAAATTTATGCGAATTTGTTTTGTTGTGGCACGCGCAGGCTACAGCCGCTTGTCAACCGCTGCAGCAGTCTGGTCAACTGGCAAGCGCTTTTGTTGCAATTTTTGCGGTTTTAACAGTTTATTATAAAGTGCCAGTTAGCCGGCCAGCCAGCCAGCCAAACAGGCGACAAAAACAACTACAGCTGAAGTCATGGCAATGTTCGCTGCTATAAAAACAAACCCGAGGGGAGTTCAGGCTTTCAAATGCCGCGCGGCCGATTTTAATTGCAGTCAAGCGCCAACTGTTACATTTCAAAGTCTGCAACTTTTATTTATTTATGCAAATTTTGTTTTTGCTTTTATGCACCAGGGGCTGGAGGCGTGGTAAAACAATATTTGCTGCTAAATTGGCAAAAGTGGCGCAAACTTTTGACCAGCTTTTTAGCAAAGAGACGACGAGGCAAACAAAAAAAATATTTTGATGGCCGCGACAAATAAATTGAAATTGTTGCGACAATTTTCGTTGCGTTTATATATATATATATTTTTTTTTGACAAATGCTGGGGAAAATGTTTAGAACGAAAATACGTTCTATTATTTCGAATAGCTGCAGCTGGCTAATTGGACGACAAATGGCGCGATGTACGAGCTGCGACACGTGCCAATATTGTCGAGCCAATTCCCCAAGCTGCTGTTGCGGATCCAAAAAGTTTTTCATATTTTTTGTTGTTTTTGTTGTTAGCTAACTTTGGCCATTTTGTGGCTTGGCAATTGCACATACTGGGACATATTATGACGGCAACAAAAGTTGCCGGCCACGCCCCAAAACGAGGTGTGCGTTGGAGAGAACGTGATGACACGTACATTGCGTATACGACATGTGCTACTTGCCAGCTAAGGCGGCAGACACATGTATACGATTTAGAAATATATATAGTAGAGTACAATATTGTTTAGTAGAAGTAGGTTGAGCTAACTCTTAGCGCTTTATTGAAAAAGAGTGATAGTTCTGATGGAGGACGGGTTCGAAGGGCGTGAAGACGGCTTTTTCAATTATGGAACGTGGACTGCCCTTGTGCTGCAGCCACAGGCGCCTGAAAGAATTAATTAACACAAAATAATGAACAGATCAAAATTCCCTATTTAACAGCATCGCTCACATTTCGGATAGCATATCTTGTGGTCCTTCCATAATTCCCTTAACGGTGCCTTCTTGCGTATTCATACACCAGCCATTGAGGCCTAGCTGCTTAGCCTTGATTTGTGTGTGCTTCAAGCCAGAAGAAACTGCTTTCAGCATCAGTTCAAACGACAAATTAAACTCAAACTTACCTTACGAAAATATACACCTAAGGTGGAAGAATTAATATATCATTTATGTAATTCGTTTTATAATAAAGACTAACCCTGCACACGCCCATAAATTTCAAACATTGAACTAAAAATCCTTTTTTCAGCTTCCATTTTACGGGGTAGTGTTTCGGTGGGCAATTTCGATACGATTTCTTTCGATTGTTTAATTTTGTTGTGCATTTTTTAAACTGCTCAGAAATTTAAAAAATTCTTCAAACAAAATTGAAAAATACTTAAATATTTAATAAACTTTTTATTTCAATAAAATTTATTATGATTCTGCCTGTGAATCTTATACGAATGACGAAACGTTGCGAGCTAAAGTTTGTTTAAAAATATTATGACAACGTTTTCTAAACATGCTATATAAGAAAAGTGTCTTTGTAAAGTCAAGTGAAAAAATTAATTAATTGTTTAATAAGTTTTCAAATACTTTTCGTAAGGCTTTTAGTTATAAATTTGTTGCTCTGAAAATGTGAATGATATTTATTTGCTAGGACGAGACCTCAATAACTACTTTAACATCTTTGCAATAGATTTATGCACTCGCTGGCAAATTGAATGAATTTAATGCACGCCGCGAATTTATAAAACATTTAAATAGAGTTATTTCTTGCTAAGCCACAGTAAAATATTTAAAAAGTTTAACACAATCTCATTTTATAACTGTTATCAAGCTTTAAACAAGCCCTGGCTGACTCCCTATTTCAATTCCTACGCTTTAATCGCAGAGGGCTTGTAATCTGCCCAGGCAACTATGCTGTCAATTCAAATTCCCGCTTGTAGTTAATATCCTTGAATGACTTCTGGGCGGTGGCAAAGTTGATGCTGATGTAACAACAATTCAAACACAATTGAATACCGCATTAAAAATACATAATATTTCATCTGACTGTTTGGTGAGTGCAATTTGCTCATCAGATCATCAGATTTCCGCACTTGTAAGAGTTCAAGCAAGTAGTTCCACAGATGCTATCGCGCGCACTCCTTCTATCTCTCTCTCTCTCTCTCCCACTCTCTATCTATATATCACTGTCTCTTTCTGTTGTCAGTTCAAGCCATTTGGAGCTGCTTCACTTTTAGCGCTTCCGGTTCGTTAAATTTAACGGGCGAAGCTCTGAGCTCTGCGCTCTGCTGGCCACAGGAGAGAGAGAAAAAATGGAAAAAGGATATGAGAGTCACTGAAGGTAGTGAGCGGAGGCTGCGGGGCCACTTGCAACTTGGACGCTTCAGTGGAAACTTCAATAAAACGTTTGACGCTGCAGGCAAACTGACATTTTCCATTAAGTGCAGACAGCTCGCAATTTTTGGAAAACCGGACTGGGACTGGGACTGGGACTTAGACTGGGACTGGAACTGGACGAGGCAAACATTTTGGCCAAGTTTTATGATAGCAAATGATGTTCGTTCGCCTTAGCTCTTAAGAGCAGTATATTATAGAATCCGAGTCCGGACAGCTGCTGTTTATGGCCAGCTCTTAGGCACACGCAGAGCCAGCATGCATATTAATTTAAGCTGAAGTTGAAGTTGCAGCTACTGTTTGTTTTTCGGCCAAAGCGTTTTGCCCAAGTTTTTGACCAAAACATCAAAGTGTCATCAACAGGCAGCCACTCGCCGGGGCTGCACTTCCGCTCTTGACAAGGGAGCCAACAAGAAGCCAGTCAGGACAACGACAAGCACTGACATTGTGGCCCCACTCCGCCTGGCCGCTGTGTCTCTGCTGCCTTGGCCTCTGTGTCTGTGTGTCCTTATCATTTGCGACAAATTCGTCGACAACTTTACTACAATAATATTTATTTTGAAAATATGCTCGAGCGCGTCTCCTTTTGCTATCTTCGCACACTTTGAAGTGTTGCCAATGTGCAAAAGTAATCAAAATATTTTGTCAGCTCCAGCTGCAGTTTAGAGCTGGCAACCGAAACGATTCGCGTGCTCAGTCTTCATTTTTGTGTGTGCCTTTAAAAGCGCTTTTCCACTAGTTGGCCAAGGAAATTGAGTTGAAAGTGGCGCAGCTTGCTCGCTACTTAAACGGTGCCAACAACTTTAAGTACAGCTGTGCTCGCAGGCATTTCGAATATTAGACGCCACTTTGCACTTTACAGCGAGCGGTGCCCCACCCTCTGTTCTCTCTTTCCCACTCTCCTTGCTACAGCTATTGGTGCTGCACAGTGGGTAGAATTTATTGTATCTGTAGCTTAAGTGAAGGAGTTGAGTAATACATTCTCTTTACTTCATTGAAGTATTGCCTACAATTTATTTAGCAACAAACTTAGAGTTGACTAAAAATATTTCCTTCAAAATTAAATTTGCAATAAGAACATATTATGATCAATCAAAATAAGTTGAATAATTTTTTGCATATAATAATAGGAGCTCCAAAGATTTTATTCCTCTGAAAAATACTAAATACACATTCTAATACTTAAAATATTAACTTCTAATTCATAAATAATTTAGAAGAATGTTGAAAAAGAATTTATAATGGAAATACTAATGCAAATATTTTTTTAGAATTTTAGCTCTAACTTTATTATGTATTTAAATAAAATAAATAAAATTTTGCAAAATACTATCCTTAAAAGCTAAAATTATTTCAATTATTATTATTACCTAACAGTTAAGCAATCTTAAATCTCACTACATTACTCTTAACAGCTTTTGTTTCTGTTAAAAATGTTTTTACATAGTTTTAACAGAGTTCTGCTTAACATTTTCTGTATTTAAATGCACTTGAAGCTTTAAGTATATCTATAAATAAGACTTCGTGTTAAGCACAGTTGAAAACTTTTCTTTCATTAGCTTCTTTTTGCACACAAATATGCTAATGAGTCCCACGGTGCCTTCCGCGTTAACCGAAATTGACATTTATGCAATTTGATTTTGTGCCGCACAGCAAATTAAATTTGCTCAGTTTGCTGGCCACCCGAAAAAGTATGCTCTGTTTTTGAGCCCGCAGCCAAAGCAGACTGAAAGATGTCTGTTATACTTATGCATGAGTGTGCGTGTGTCTCTGTGTGACGTTTTCAAACAATTTCACGTTGAAATTTGTTACAAATTGCGGCTACAGTGAAAAATTTGCATAAAATTTCCATATGCGTTTTTGTTATCCTGCCTGTTAGCCCGGCCAGGACCCACGCTCATTTCCCTTTCACTCATTTTTCGCTTTTACTATTTGCATAAAAATTGCCGCATGACTGACAAATTTCACGTGTCGCTCTCGACAAATTTATGAGCTCTTGAAATTATTTGCGCTTATTCAAGTCTCGCGAGTCGCATAAAATTTGTATTTTAAGTTCTTTTTTCGGCTTTTGTTTGCCGAGCTGATGGGATTTGTCCAGCATGGCGGCGAGGTGTTAACATGTCCAACATGCCCACCATTTGCGTTCGCCCATGACCAACCCTCGTATAGAAATAAGGCGAGTTAATTTATTTGCGCCCCGTCCAAAAAACGCCAAGCGAGCCGCCTCTCAACCAATTTTCATTAAAGCACATAAATTGTTGTTTATGGCGCCCCCGAACCGCCAATGGCTAGATACCTGGGGACCGGCAGCAAATCCAGACGCTGCACTCCCAGCATTCTGAGACAGACTGCGGCTCTGGGCAGCCCCAATGTTTTTGTCCAGAAGTCGACTTCATTTCATATTCATGGGCGCGCAATTTGAAACTCCTTTTTTGCCATAGCCGGAGCCCGAGCCGGAGCCGTAGCCGGAGTCGGGATCCTCTTACTGCCTCGTTTTGTATCCGTTAATAAAGTTTGGCAATTATCTTTGCTGCCTGTTGCTGTACTTTTTGCTGTGTCTGTGTGCGTGGGCGGGCTGTGTCTGCTCGGCCGATAAGTGTGCTTTAGACAAGGCATCTTTGTCCCTTGTTGTAATTGCGGTTAGGCGACTCGGAATGGGCGCAAAATGGAATTTCAGAGTAAGACTTTAAGTTTCAAGTAACAATTTTGTTGTAGGTTTTATTAAACAGTAATTAAGCTAACAGGGCTTGTGTTGCCAGAAGTACTTCTCTCGTATAAAAACCATAAACTTTATAGCTTTAAGTAGAAATATTTTATCTGCTGATTGTCGTTCGCTCCCACACTTTGAAAAGTTTTTGGGTCATCAATAGTCGAGCTGAAAAGCTGTCTGCAACCTAAGCAAAGACACCACATGGCCATCATATCGAGTCACATGCGCCATCAATTTCATAGAGTGCAAAATGTGTGTGTCTGTGGGGGAGGAAAGTGAAAAAGTTGCCACGTAAAACCTGCCTCAATATAATTGCATTACACGTGGCTATCACAAGTGAAAAACCGCACGCAGAACAAAATATAAGTAAAAAGAAAGAACTGGCAGCAGCAGCTGCCTAATGCGACGAATACTCAGCTACCACAACCACACAGCTTAGCAACCACCCGCCAACCAGCCACCCACCAGCCACGCTGTAAACCACAAGCTCAGCTCTGTCGGCTAACCCGACTCAAATGTGAAAATGACTTGGCAGGCGACTTTTCATATTTGCAACGAGTTATGCTTAGCTGCTGGAGTAGCTTCGCATCTCTCGTCTTTTGCAGGCGTGAAGCATGATCCCTGTCGTTGACAGCGGGCCAGAGCAAATCCTTTTTCTTAACCTTTTGCCAAGCGTGCGCATACTTCAAGTGTGCTTAAGCCGCCGCCGCTGCCTACACTTGCCCCTAGCTCCTCGAGCTCACACCTCGCATCAGCTTTGATGTGGTCTACGAGTATGCAACACACAAATCACCAGGGCGTCGACGGCGTCTGGAATTTATGCTACCTCTTAGCAGCAATATATGTATATAAATATATATATATATATATATATATATTATATACGTGTGTGATCTGTGTGATTTGGCCAGGCCAGCGAATGCCTGGCGGGACCCTAAGCTGACACTGATGTACGCCATTTTCTGTGTGTGGGTGTCTCACATATATATTCTTCAGTCAACCAGACCTAAAAACATGGCTAGCCCATTAGCTGCTTTTTTTCTCATCTTTTTTTTTTCTTCTTTCGTCACGGAGTGTGTAAATATTTTTCGAAATTATTTTACGCTCGAATGGAATGAATCGCTTCGACAACCGGTAGCCGGAAATCACTTTTGACATTTTCGATCTATTGATTTTTTATGGTTCAGCAATTTTTCGGGTTAGATAATGACTCGACAAAGCGGAAGAGTGTAAAAAAAAATAAAAATTTAATATAAAGCTTAAAATTATTTTGTGTTAAGGCTAAGTTACG